TCCAAAGTTGACTGCACCTTCAAGGAGTAAACCAAACATTTTTCAGTCCGCGTTTCGAAAAATCTGACCTTTTAGTGCTTGATTAATATCGATATAGCTACCGATGACCCTTGATATGATCAGCCATAACTTTCTTTTGGTTAAGGTTAGATCAATCACTTCTTGCCTTCTGTTTATGGCAAATGTAAGTATGATAACTTGTTTTTTGGAAAGGTGCAGGTTTAGTTAGCGTCGCCAGAGGGGGGATATAAAATCGTATAAAATGTAGGGGGAAATATCGCTGGTCTTGCTGGAGACTAGCTCGCAAAGAAATTGAAAAACTCTCATTTTCGTTGTTGGTGTTTCCGACTGGGTAGAGGTGAATATGATGTATTGGTGAGCGAATCCCCGACCGAAAAATTACACTGAAGATGACACAACGCGGAAACCAAATTTGACAAGGGATGACGCAAAATCGTTACACAATACATCAAATTGAAAAATAGTCTTGGGGAAATAGGAACTACCATTTAGGTATACCATAGTCCTCCCACCTTTGGAGCTCTAGTCTAGTGGGTAAAATGGAAAGAATCGCAGTCAAAACATATTCGGAAGATTGCAGAAATCCGTAAGCCTCGATATATTGAGCGCTGTGAGAAGCAGGGTAAGGTTGAGCCTTGAACTTAGACACGTCACAGGAGCAGCTGAAAAATGAAGCCTTAAATTTAAAGAATCAAAATAGTGCAGGCAAAGTGACTATGGACCCGCACCGATCTTGGGTGAACATATGAGAGTGCAACATAACGAGTTTGGTTTAAAGCTTCAACTAAGGAAGGACATAGGCTTACCGAAAACATATCATTATCATATAACCGAACAGTAAAAATTGCGGAATTCGCCGGACTTTGTGTCTAATCGAGGGATCCTTAGGTTAGGCAACTTACGAGTGCGTCGTCTTTCAGGAAAAGACCTGCTCTATAGAAAGACCATTTTCACTACGGCAAATTCAAAAGCATTTGTCGTGAAATATGTGAAAACACATTGCCAAATGCGGCAAGTATCGAGCGAATTACAATAAAATTAGGCACTGAATCATTCAGAAGACTTGCTAAATCGACTGTCTATTTTTGGATCGAAATGCCTATGAAATGGATAAGGAAAGTCGAACAAAACAAAGTCATCAACATTTTTCATAGCGAAAACATACATACAGTATTGGCCAATACAATAGCACCCCCATTTCAAAGTGATATTGTTTGCCACTCATGTTTATTTATTTATTTTTAAGAATTTTCAATTAAAATACAGTTCATTCTCTAACAAAACTCACATAAACTCAAGCTTAAAACTTTTTAAAAGACCGCAAAAAAGTGCAACAAATTTTCACCCAAATTTCAAACTTTTTTCTCAGAAGCGGTAGAATTTTTTTGAATACACAGTTTTATAGCCCGTTGAATTTTAGTCTAATAATGTGCAAGTTTCAAGTGGCTAAAAATTACCGTTGATTTTTTAGAATTTTTTCGACGAGGATGTTGCGGGTTTCTGCCATATAAAAATAAATTGTGTTTAGTCCATATATGGAAGCAAATGAGACAAAAAAAATCTAAAAAATCAACGGTAATCTTTAGTGACTTGAAACTTGCACATTATTGGACAAAACTGAATGCGCTATAAAACTGTGTACTCAAAAAAATTCTAGAGCTTCTAAGAAAAAAGTTTGAAATTTAAGGGAAAGTTTGTTGCACTTTTTTGCGATCTTTTAAAAAGTTTAAAACATTGGTTTATATGGGTTTTGTTGGAGAATGAACTGTATTTTAATTGAAAATTCTTAAAAACAAATAATTAAACATAAGTGGCAAACAATATTGCTTTGAAAGGGGGGTGCTATAGACATGTCCAATACTGTATATATATAGACTCTATTCGAGAAAGACATTATCTTAACTACCAAGCTGCATGGAAAGCGTTCAAAATCCAAAGTAGTAAAGACGAAAATAGTTTAGAAATTTGGGGCTGACATTTTTGGAGCACCACAACGTCATATTTTCTGCTTTTTCATTAGAGAACGGTGGCTTGTGAATAAAAACGACATACGTTAGTCTAGGTGAGGCATTCGCTGAACAGTTTTTGATTACATAAAGAGTGTAATAACGTCCAGCTGCTATAAGTTCCAGTTTATTAAGTAAAGGAGAACAAGCGAGACAACACACAGATTAGTCTGTGTGGCAGCGGTGCTTAGCCTTTTTAAAATAATAAGAAATTTAAATTCTAACACGATATTGTTGCCTTTGGGGTCATTTGCTCCAACTAGGTGTTTGGTCGAAAGATATTCTTGCCGCTTCTGCGACTCAGCTACGAAGACAGCAACGCACATTTTCGTTGAGTGTGAGGCCGAGTGTTAAAAAGGCGGCAGTCTAGGGTCACAGTATTACCTCATGCACTGTCTGGCACTAAAATCTTTCTTGAACCCTCTAATGCTTAGAAAAAGTGTTTCGAGGATTAGAATACACAATAGCTGTCTAACACGTAGTGGATACATTAGATAAATAATTACCTACATACATATGTACATATCGTTACCTTAATTCACAAAGGCCCTAACCAAAATTTTTTATTTTACAGGAGAACCAAAAAAACATTTTAAAAAGAGTAGGTATCTAAAACAGGAAGGGCTTTTTAAAAAGTGTCTGTGAAAAACGCAGTTTCCAAAAAGTGTTGGTTAGGGCCTTTGTGAATTAAGGTGACGATATATTAGATGAGAAAAAATGCAGGTACTTACAATGAAAAAATTACATAAAACAAAATAAAAAAGGAAATAATCCAAGATACCGACAAAATAACTAACCGGCTATAATTTACGGTAATTGACCATGCCGAGACATGCGACCTTCTGGTTATTTTGGTATTGATGCTCTCACTATTGTTAAAACTATTGGTTATAACATCTCTGCTGTTATTGGCGACAAAGTAGCAATTCCTAATTTTTAATGGCATTTGCGTGTCTACCAAAAAATGTTGTCCTTTCTTTGCCCTCTTTGAACAAACGGTAAGGAGAGGGCAATGGCAAGGCAACATTTTTTGTAGAAACGAAAAAGGCATAAATAAATTCTGCTTGATTTTGAAATCCTTTAACTAACTTATAAGTGTAAATAGGTTTGTTCGTCGAAAATCCAGCAAGAATTATCCAACACTCAAAATATCAGAGAGTAAGAAAAAATTCTCTCTCATGTTGAGAAACTTGCAAATATCTGCACGAACGCAAATTTGCAGGAATTTGCAAGTTTCGCTGCCAGCTGGCGTCCACGGTTGCATTTCAAAAATAAAAAATTTTTATAGAATTTTTAAAGTTCTTTCGGATGGCCAAAAACAGGATATACGTGTATATTTCTTGTTGTTCTGACTTTCTTTAACATACATTTCAATTTCTTCATCGTACTAGCTGTTGGGTTTCTTAAATCGACTCTGGTTGCAATTGCATTCCGATTGCGAATACCATTTTTTTCAGCCGAATTAAGTTCAAATCATTGGAATTAACTAAATTAATTATATCAACAATTATTTACTTCCTTTTTTCATAAAAAATCGCTCGTGTTTATAAATTTTTAAATTTAAAGAACTAATTTATTCAAATTATTGTAGACAAAAATGCAACCATGCGCCACAACCACATGTTTTTCGTGTTTGCAAATTCTTGCTGGCAAAATTTTTTCCAGCAAGAATTTGCAACTTCTCTCCAAGAGAACTGTCACTTTGCTCTCACAATTTTTGAGTGTTGGATAATTTTTTGGTCTGCACGAACGCGATTTGGGCAAAAATCGTGATAATTCGTACAAATTCGTACAAATTTTTTGCTCGACGAACAAACCTAATATTTACCGACTTCACATAACGGTATAGGTACACCAAAATATGAATGAAATGAATAAAAAACAAGTAAGCAATTGTTTTTCTTAAAATTTCAGACCTTTTACCGTAATTTGTTTGAATAAATCGAGTAAAAGGTCGAAAATTTTAAGAAAAAACAATTGCTTAGATTTTATTCATAAGGCCCCATGAACTATATTTTAATTTAAAATTCTTAAAAATAAATACATATCTGTGTTCGTTTGGAAAAGTAGCTTATGTCGAAAGGCTGGCTTTAGTATAATACGGCATTCCCTTTATTCTTTAAACGACAAGGAATTTTTGGATGAGACTTAACAAGAATATTGACTTGCTAGTATCGGAACTATTTATTGCACGTTTATTTGCCAAAAGTTTTTCAACGGCTCAGCGCCGGTGAGTCATTCGCAATCGTATGCTGCGAATGCCGATTTATACTAAAGCCAGCCTTTCGACATAAGCTACTTTTCCATACGAACACAGATATGTAAATAAACTTGAGCGGTAAACAATATCACTTTCAAAAGGCTGTCCTATTAATATGACCGATATTGTACATACATATGTTCATAAAAATAATACATATTAACTTACCTCCTTCTGCTTCACTTTTGCGGGGCGCACTAATGGCGGCTGGTGTGGAACTAGCACTGGCGGCAATCGGATTGGTCAAACCGAAACTAGAAGGTTTCTTCCAGCCACGCCAATTGTTGCATAGCGATTCTGGTTCTGAACTCCAACTGCAAAGCGAATCTTCTTCGAAGCGATCCGAATCGTCAAAACTAAAACGATCAATTTCTTCTGGGTTCCACTCTGCTGCTCCGGCACCCGCTGCGGCGCCTTGCTCGCCAGCACCTCCTGCAACGTTAGCGGCTGCTGCAGCTGCAGCGGCACCACCAGCGCCATTACGTCGCGATCCCTCTGCAGCATTTCCACCACCAGCAGCGTTATTGCCGCCGCCACTACCACCACCACCACCACCACCGTTTCCGTTGTTACCGCTGCGATTCGCCAGGATGCTGGTATTTTATACAACAAGGGCTATCGTAATAGTACTATGCTTATTATATATGTATGTCTGAGAAATTTTTCTCAAAATTGTGCGGGTGGCGTACGTGATTAATTATTAATTTACTTAGTTTTTTTTTTTGTACGCGACACGACGGATGATTTAACTTTTTCGTACGATTATGTGTTAGTTGATGAATGTATGCATTTTTGTGTGTGTGCGCATGTGTCTTCGCGTAAAACCATTAGTAAAGGCGAAATTCTACTCACTTAGTTAAGTTTTCTTATAATTATGTATGTATGTACATTTATTTTACAATAAGCAAATAATATTGTGTTGAATCCGTTTCTTTAAATAATTACCGACAAGAAATCCCGTACAACTTCGGCGACGATACTGACAGACCACCACGGTATTAATTATTTAGTCTTTCTACACTTATTTGCTATTCTTTTGTTTTCAAGTCCCAGACGATGAGCTCCATAAACGAGCCCGTTGTTGATGCAAATTTACAAGCACGTCCTCGATGTCTGCGCGGCCTTTCACTAATGTTGGGGGTATTTGATTTCCTTTTTGGTTATTCGACTGGCCCCCCACCTAAACTCTGAGCAAGGGACGACAATAACACGAAGGTTGATGCAAAACAAAACGAGAACCGACCAAACGGGATTGCAGGCAGCGAGTAATAACCGCAACAGCCCAACTCAACAGAAACCAACGATACGGATGGGTTCAATAACGCTGGTCGTGAGTGCGTCGACGATGACACAAAGCAGCGCTGTTGTAGACTCCAACAACCAGTTCAAAAAGCAGAGCAGCAGCAGTGAAGACTGAGCCACCAGCTGCTCGTCTTTTCGATTTTCTTTCAAGTTCTTTTTCGTTTGCTTTTCTTTCACACCTTTTCCTATTATCAATCGTGCTTTAACATTTCAATTCGCCCTAATCAAACTTTGTTCTTGTTTACGTTGTGTTTATTGTTGTTGTTAGCACAAGTTCTTCGCCTTTTGTTGTCTTCTTTTCGCTGCATAACCAGTCTTTTTTCTGCTTTTTCTATGCTTCCACCACTTTTGCTTTCTTTCACATTAAAATTCACTTCTAAGTTCCAAGCGCCCCTTCCCAATTCTATGGCCAGTGGAGTCTCATTACTAAAATATGTATGTAACTTCACACAATATTACTTTTGGATAAATACGAATTGTAGAGATACATATACTTTTTCCTTACTGAAAATCAGAACTGATTGTGGATTTTAAATTAGTCTTTGCTGAGGAAATTATTCAATTTTACCACCGAAAGTTATATGAACCAAATCCCCTGACAATGCTAGGCAGAGCAGTCGAGTTAACCACTCGGTTAGATTTGATGCTTCATTTCACCATTTCACACTTTTTTTTAACACATATATGTTCCTTTCGCCGAATATAATAGTTTTCTACACATATTTCTATTTTTCTATGCGAAAATTTAATCAAAATCCCAATTTTTCGTCGCCAAATTTTCACACACAAAATTTCTTTTGGAACACAAAACGCACACACACACTCGCAGGGTTGTCTAGTGCTACCAGCACGGATAAGCGGTGTGGTAAAATTGCTAGAGAAAATGTCCACAAATCTCCAATACAATTATGAATGTAAAATTTGCCTATTCCTCCATATCCGTACATATATAGTGCGTTGCTTTAAACCAAATTCTACTTGCACAATTAAATATCTAAGCGAGAAAAAGGTTTTTCAAATGATTTGAAAGGAAGCAGATATCGAAGAATGTAGAAATTTAGTTGCATATAATTGTTGATGGGAAAATAGAATATTGCGATAGTGGTAAGGCTGTTGATTATCGATGCAATTGTGGAAAAGGAAAATTGCCTTCTCCCTCGCGCTTTCTTGCAGTGAGTGTGAATGCGAACGACTGTGAGTGATAACAGACTGTGCAAGGGAGATAACTATTGATTCGATTCTACGGCGAATTCACTAACGCAGAGGTGCAATTGAGTTAAATGTATAGTTGTTTTTTTTTTTTCAAATCAATAAACCTAATATTAACGACCGCATTTCTTCATAGCAAATTGCCAACTAGATTACATGATTAACTGTAACTTGCCACAAGCAAAAAAGGCGGTAGTGGAATTTACCCTGAATGTGCGCTGAATCGGTTTGGGTTTCTTCAATAGTAAATTAGGCCGTTTTCGTAGCAACCCTGGGCCATGCTAGCACTTTTCCAGCAGTTTTGACAGTTCGGCATGCCATTGACACTTTTGACAGCTTAAAACTGCTGAACTTTCTTTTTTAATATCCGGTTAACGCAATTGGTTGGTGTTTTATTAAAGCTTTTTGAAATTTTGTTAAATATTTGCTAAATCGGTGAATTTGTTTATAAAAGTTGTGTGTTTGAACTTAGAACAAATGTTTCTTAAGATAATGGGACACATCTTTTCCCATCAATTGGACTGTAGTGATGGATGCTAGCTAATTAATGAAACGTCTATTGTATGTTGCGATAGATTGGAGTGTTCCTTTGGCTCTTTTGCACTGTACAAACAAATTCATCGACAAAAATATTCAGTGAAAATACTGCGACTATTCTTCGTGATACAATTTTAATAATTTTGTTGTGTTCCATCCACTTGCAGTTGATCCAACCATATAAAAATGGCTCCCAGAAAGGCTAAAGCTCAAAAGGAAGAAGTCCAAGTGTCGTTGGGCCCACAAGTTCGTGATGGTGAATACGTTTTTGGCGTCGCTCACATTTATGCCAGTTTCAACGACACCTTCGTCCATGTAACCGATTTGTCGGGGCGTGAAACCATTGCTCGCGTCACTGGTGGTATGAAAGTAAAGGCCGATCGTGATGAAGCTTCACCCTACGCTGCTATGTTGGCTGCTCAAGTAAGTTGTGGAGCATACCTTTATTTTAAACCATTTGGTACTAATGTATTCTCGTCGTTTCAGGATGTCGCTGAAAAGTGCAAGACTCTGGGCATCACTGCACTACACATTAAATTGCGTGCCACTGGTGGTAATAAGACCAAAACTCCCGGACCAGGTGCTCAATCTGCGTTGCGTGCTTTGGCTCGTTCTTCAATGAAAATTGGTCGCATTGAGGATGTGACACCAATCCCATCAGATTCTACACGTAGGAAGGGTGGTCGTCGTGGTCGCCGTTTGTAAGCTTTATCAAAGATGCACTATTATTTTTGTGTGTATTTTTATGGTTCATACGCGTATCATGCGTAGAGTATAAAAATTAAAATCAGAAAAAATACAGATTTTTTAATATAAGTGGTGAAAATTTAAATTTCGTGCTGTTTTTTGTTGGCTTAAGAAGCAGTGGATGTGTCGATGACTAAAGAAAAATATTTGAAGAAGAAATGTGATTTTTCGTTAGCTTGACAAGCAAACAATGGCGCGTCTGGTGCGGTCCAATTAAGCAATAGAACTTTGATTGCCAGGAGATAGCGATAGAAGATTCGGGATTGTTTAGCTTAACATCAGAATACAAAATGTGCGCAACCACGCTGATATGCTAGTATTCTACTAGATTGCTCAAGTTACGACTCTTTGTTGTTGTTGTTGTAGAAGTATACAAATTCCCCAAAGACTTTTTGGGGAGTGTTGCTGGAGTGACAGTCCTTGGCCAGATATAAATCTGGGTCGTTCCGGTTACGTAGACCCGACTGTCGTGGGAACGGTTACAACTTTTTCATTTGTTTCGGTTTAGAAAAGAGACTGATGCTTGGAGTTTTGACGTTTTAGAATGCACCCCGCTAGATATGGGCAAACCATTCATAAAAAATTCATTCTACTTGCTGATAAGAAATATACGTAATTTGTTAAAATATAGAAAAGGCTTTCGTTAGGAATACAAACGTGAATATGTAAAGCTTCATATTTTTATAATTTCTGAAAACTACATTGGGTTGAATTAAAAATAGGGTAGCTCTTTTAAATTGTAACTATTTATGCTTCCATTACTTAAACACGAGGGGTTTTTTCGAAGTCTTACAAGACCCTTGCAAGATGCACGGTTTGCAAAGCTGTCCCATAAGAAAACAGGGTTTTACATGCAATCCGTGGCATCTGTTCACCATGAAAAGGCTTTGCAAAACTTCGAGAATACCCCTATTGATATATCGTTAAGATGTGAAAATTTTCTGGCGACGTTTTTCAGCTTCGATGACCCCGAGCAAGGGCTTCTTCTGCTGCGTCTGCCAGAGACGACTTCATCCGAACTCCATTTCGGTTAGATCGCACCCGTAACGGATAGGCAGCTAAGAAACTGCTCAGGCCTTAGGTGCAACAGGTAGTGGACCACACATTTTTTGGCCCCGTTGCACAAGACATACAGCATCACCAACTTGCGGACTAGCTCCCCCAAATAGCCTACACGGGCCCAGGAAGCTCAAGAAGAAACTCCCCACAACGCGCTCCAATTCGCATGCTACGGCTAAACAGCAGCTCTTGGTGACCCATGCGGTGTGCTCCGTGGTTAGAACACTTCACATGTCCCTCGCGAAGCGTCAGCATGGATTCTGTAAAGTGCGGAGCACTTAACGCTATAACACTCCGATATTTAACTCTGGGCCTTAACCGTAACCGCCCCTGTGAGAGAACAGTTCTAGTAGCGTTGGATCTATCAAAGGCGTTTGATACCGTCTGTTATTCCACGCTAATGGAAGACATTGACGCTTTCTCCCTCCCACAGGCATTTAACTGATGGTCGGCGAATTATATGAGTGGTCTGTAGTCGTCAGTAATCTTTCGTGACCAAACTTCAAAACCCAGAAGAATTAAGCAAGGGGTTCAACAAGGGTTTGTTCCATCGAAAATTTTAGTGGCTACCTTTGAAAGCCTGCTTTCCTTCAACAAATTGCAAAGCCTTAACAAAGTCATCAAGTCGTTCCCCGTCAGCACATTGAGCAAAGGCAAAGGAACGTTGCTGGCAAGACACCAGAAAATTGACCAGCCGGTTCTGAAGTACGGTGCGATGTTTGGTTGAGAGGGACTAGTTGGACCCAGTAGACGAAGCTGAAAGCTTCTAAAAACGCCGCACTCCGGACAGCGACTAGATGCCTTCTTATGTCGCCTGAGCAACATCTTCATAGCGAGGCCCAAATGCTTTCTGTAAGAGAGCATAACAAAATGATCAGTAAGCAATTTCTCGTAGTATGGCACAGTCGTGAGCACCACAGACCTTTTCTTGAGGAAGAGCCTCATCCTTTATGGTGCACGGACGCGGTCCAGACCGACATCGACCAACCACGCCCGGACGACGTACCGAGCACAACAACACAACAGACAGAACAACAACAGACACGACCGCACCGCTACCCACACGCCGCCGCCAACAACTCTTAGTTCCCCCTACAATCTGCACGGTGTGTCAGATCAGGATATTCCGTAATGTGACATCAGTCAACTGCAGCACCTGCCTTGGCTGGTGCCATGTTAGGTCATGTTCAGGTCTGCGCACCACGCGAGATTGGACGGGGAATTTCGAGGGCCCGTGTTGCCCTGCATTGCTATCCGGTCAGGCGATGTCGAGCTCGAAATATTTAACGTTTATGTAACCCCTGTCACCAGCTGCCCGGCTTCTAAGAGGTGAAAACCGTATGGTAGTTGGCGAGCTTTGTCGTTTCTTCACTGCCCACTTCAACCCTCTCCCCTACAAAATCCTCAGAAACCCTGCTCACCACGAAGGAGATCAGACTACAGCTGCGTATTCACGCTGATGACGTATCAATTCCGACGGTGAATAACCCGAAAATCCTCGGTGTAACATCCGACAGTCTGCTCTCCTGCTCCGCGTATACCACCCCAATTGTCAACAAAGTACAGAGCCGCAACAAGGTCCTCAAGTCGCTATCCGGCAGTACCTAGGGCAAAGAAAAAGAAACGTTGTTGGCAACATACAAAGCAATTGGCCGGCCGGGTCTCAACTACGTAGCACCAGTTTGGTTATCGAGGACTAGTAGGACGCAGTGGATTAAGCGATACAATATGCAGCACTCTGGACAGGGACCGAATGTCTTCTGATGTCGCCACAAAATCAACCACAGACGTTGATGCCCGAACAGACACTTGCTTGTAGAGGAGTCCTCGCCAAGGCACGTCAGAAGGCATCTATAAGAACTGACGGCCGAAGTCCCGAGGTTCATAAAGCAACCTCTGAACCCGACAGCATATCGACAGGCCTTGAGCGGCATTCACAGGGAGTCGGTCTCAAGTTACGTAGACTCCAGACCTTTGAATGCCGTTCTGGGCACAGAACCACCTGACGTGGACGAGGCTGAGATTCGTAGACCTCGGGAAACTCGGACCACAATAACACAACTTCGCTCTGGCTACTGCAGCAGATTGTACCTGAGCAGACAAGATGCGGATGGGGCCAAGTGAATGTCCAGCATACGCAGAGACACCCCACGACTCGAAACATCTCTTCATATGTCCCTGTGGACAGACCTTAAAGAGGCTGCACGCTTCTTGGGTCGCCCGCTAGTTGAGCTTGACGACAATGACTGAGAGACTAGCCGTTCAGAGCCAGGTTGTTGTAGTTTACAACAACAACGTACCGAGGAGTGGTCAACGGCATTTATAGAAACTCGGTCACCACCTACCATGACTTGACATATGAATGCCGTGATCGCAGCACAATCACCAGCATACACTGAGGTTCGAGTGTCACGAGAGACCCGCGCTACTCTGTCCCAATTGCGGATATTGTAGCTGCCATACTCTGCCCCCATATCCCCAAAGATTGTCCAGCATGTGCAGGATCCCCCCACGACCCCAACCACTTCTTCATATGTCCGATCAATCTCACTTAGCTAACAACCCTCTCCCTTTAGTCCGATCCCGTCGAAACAGCTAGCTTCTTGCGATAGTTATACCCGATACTGCCAAACATCGAGTGACCGGTAGCTCATTTCTGTAACTTCTCTACCGATTATTTCTCTACTGGTAGACAATATACGTCATTCTCCGAGCACAAAATATCACATGTTGGCAAGACTTATTCTTCGCTTGATCTTGAGGAGGCAAAGACCTTCACTACTTCAAAAGTTATAACGGCCACCAATGACGGGAAAACTCTTTGTTTGTTGCCAGGAGGTACTTTGTTTTATTTTCATTCACCGTTTTATTTACCTCTTTTGCTTCCATCTCTAATCTGGAATATGCTGCTGGTGGGTAACTGACATAACTTCCACGGACATAACTTCCATAATACCCTGGAAGTTAGTTCAGACTTAATTTCCACGAAGATCAGACAAAACTTCCATGGAAGTTATGGCATGACCAAATACTCTTAGGGGAAATGATTGAAGCAGACTTCAAGTGTATTCCTAGCTTGTGGCATATGGACATTATTTAATTTGATTGGAGGCATACTTGCGGTCTCAATGATAATGTTGTAGGTTTACACTTCTGTTCGTTCACTTTTAAGCGCCAGTTTCCAGCCATATTCCTCTTAGTAGTACTTTCGAAGCTCTATTCGGAGGGAGGACGTTAGTATATTCTTGCTAGTTGGAATATCTGAAATGTAGATGATGTACAGTATAGACCCGAGTACACTCGCTTGAGGAACGCCAGCCGTTATCGGTATGCCTTCAGAAGTGAACATTTATTGCAAATTTTCTGTTAGATATGTATGTATGATGGAAATATTTTGTGGAGTTTTGGCGGTAATGATTTGTTAATTTTATATACACATAAGACCTTCATGCCACAGTTTGTGGAGTGCTTGTGCCACAACGATTGCAGAGGAGTACTCTCTGAGCGCAAATGCCCCTCTGATTTCATTTGTAATTTGATTGACTTGTTCAATTGTACCATGTTTTTCTCGGAAACCAAATTGGTGTGCTGGTATTGAAATGCGTTCATGGAGAAAGGGAGATATCTTTGATAGAAGTACTTTTTCGGTTATTTTGGAAAGACAGGGCAGTAAACTTATTGGTCTGTATGAAGACGGCTGTGTTGCGTTTTTCAGGTTTGGCTATCATGATTATCTTCGACCTTTTCCATGATTTCGGAAAGTAACCGAATTTGAGAATAGCACTGAAAAGCTCCGAAAGAATATAATCTGCACCCAGTGATTTTTTGGGATTTAGCTGCGTTAATATAGCTTTCACTTCTGAAGAGGTTGTCTTGCTAGTTGTGTCTTGTGTTAACCGTGGGAGCCTGAAGTTGGACAGTTTGGATGAAACACATTGTTTAAATGGTTTGAAAAACACTCGACTTTCTTTTGGTCACTACGAGCCTAAGTACCACTTTGGGTCCTAATTAGCATTTCTGTAGCCT